TAGGGAAAAGAAAGACCAAGACTGCATATTTCCAAGGGAACGCCTCTCTGGATCTTTGGTAAAGGTTATGACAGCATGATTCTAAAGAATGTGAGTAGGTCAAGCAGCTGTGAAGGACTTCATTGACTACAGAGAAGGTGATTCTTGGCAGGTAAGTCTTCCTGGAAAGATAGGAGTTGTGGTTTTAACTACAGGGTCCTGTTGCCTTTTGAAGTTGTGAAATAATGTTCTTTCCTACAAATACATCAAAATAGTAATATATAGAATGACTGTTTATTTAAAGTTCCCTTAGGAGATTAAATCAGAGGAAATTTGAGAAAAGTGAAAAGTGGTAGAGCCTCTGAGGACATCTTTTTGGACATCTTGGCAGCCAGGGGGAAAAGTCATAGGAAGCTACTCACCAGTTCTTGTGGGCTGGAAAGCTGAAGTATGCTCTCCCTTGGGAGACCTAGCTCTCAATGGTTGTTCCTTCTGTAGGACATTCTCTGCCTTGGGAGATGATTAATCATGGCCTGATTAAGCTCCAAAAATGAAATATCTCACTAGTGCAATTGTTTTCCCTTCTTATGTCCTTGTGGGTAGAATACCATCTGGACCACCCAACCTTACAATGTGTTGGGTGGAAGACAATGACCATAGCTAGAGGTGATTGGAATATAATACTGAAGAGCAGAAATGCAGCCCACTAACAAAAATCTGTAGGTAGATCTGATTGAAAGCTAATAAATGCACTCCAAACAGCATCTTTCTTTCTCTGTAAGAAAAATATAATTGTGTGAAGCTCTTCCACGTAATGCACTCACTTGTTTATCAATCAAAATGCTCCATTTTACCAACAGCTACAATGCTTTCACCAAGGGAAGTGATCACTATAACAAAAGCTCTGAGGGCCACTTGTAAGTTTGAGAGAGATTTAAGGTTGTGCATTGACAATCACGAAACGGCCAGCTGTTCTTGAAGTTATGAAATTATACTAAAGACATGCTCTGAATGCAACTGCCCAAGATCAGAGACAGGAAACCAGAATCAAGAGAGACCCTCTACAGCTTGAACCAGGAAACACATTTCAAGGGAAGTTCTTAAAGGGGCTAATTTACGTTCTGGAGAAGGTGATGTTTTGTCACTCTTAGAGAATGGAAGGCTTCATCATCTACAGGAGGAAATTTATTATTTTTCGAATTGCAGATATGTGTAGAACAAATGAGTCAGTCTCTATTTTGACAAGTTAGGATTAGGAATCCTGGGCTGTGGAATCAACAAGGAACCTAGCCCTGTGTGGAAAAGGCAAAGTGCTTCTGTTACCTGTGAGACCACCTGGAGAAAGGTGCTGTGTTGCGGATTCTCATCGTGAATGGAATCCACCTATCAGAATACCTGCAGGGTGGTTTAAAAGAGCATATTTTATCATTTTTTTCTTTGAAAACAACAAGTAAAACTGTGTTTATGCTGTATAGAAAGCGAAGGTCTCTGAAGTCTTCACCGGTGGCAGGCTTGAATCATTATCTGTGAACTAAAATTAGCTTATAAGAGGTTGAGAATCATTGAGTCATGACATTTTGTTGAAGAGTACTTAAATAGTCAAGACTACTCTGGTCATTGAATTACTGTCTTTGGTATTTAAAGAAATAAATGTCGGCTGCTCATTTTGTGTTTAACCGAAGAATGGTAACTAGGAGACATTAATTGTTGATCCAAGAAAATATTTAAAGTAGACATTATTTCCTTCACATGTGAAAGTGTGCCACACATAATCATATGTGGACATAATGAATTCAAAGAAGATTTTAAAGATCATATAAATAATCACTTACATGTATACCATGAATAGATTCTATTATAAGAACTGAACCCACTGATATTAATGTGGGCTTACAAATAAGTACACAAACTAGAGGTCACATTTTTTTTCCACAAATGCTGATTTCTGGTGTCACCTCTTTCTGTACTGTTGACTGTAAGATACGTCAAGACAATAACAGGTAATTAGTCAGAAATTATTGCAAGGAAGTTCTATTGGGAATCAAGCAGAATATAGTATGATACTAAATGACTAAATATCCCTTAGGAAACAACTAGTTACTTCTGATCACTTTCATTGGGATTGATTTATTTGCTGTAATATTCTGCTACAAAGTGGTCTGATGTTTATGGTTCATATTCTTGGATGCAGAAAGAATAAAGTGATACTAAAAGATGCAAAAACAAACAAACAAACAAAAAAACCCAACCAATTAGCGAAATGGAGAAACATCTACCAGACACATATATTCTGACACTCTGCTCTCTTGGGACATTAAAAAGGAAATCTTGTATGATCAAAGGGTTGACATTTGCAAGAGTTTGAATACTGGGTATCTATTTTCTTTCTTTTGGATGAGGATATCAACTACACAATAATACCTTTTTGGTCTTTATTTCTTCAAAACATGAAAACAAAAATGAAGTAGATGACAATGAGAGGAAACATTCCATACAGATTATGCTGTATCACTAGTGATTAAATCAGAAACAATTAGAAACTTTATTTGTCTGTGTCAATAATGTGTACCATTTATAAGGAACAGCACAATTCGTGCACTTCCCCCCTAAAGCTGTGCACAATACACACAAAATAAACAAAATGAAATAACTTTACACAACTACAATTATTAACAACTCTGAGCAATCAGAATCATATTTTCCCTATAACATGAAACTTGAAAAAGCAAACAAACCAAAAAGCTTTGAAATTAAAAATCAATGGCAAGAATTCTGAAAGTCCTCTGTGAAAATTTGCTATGGGATTATTGACATTCCAAATATGGCTAAAATTGAGTGCAAAAATCTAATGTTTAAACAACTCACATCCTTTGACTATATTTATTTGGTGTTTTCTAGGCTAGATTTCCATTTAGTAAATCTTAAAAAAAGGGTTAGGATGTACCTCCCAAAACTTAGACCCACGGTGTTGGGCCACGGCCTGCTGGGGTGAGTCTTCTGGAGATATGAGGAACTGTAGAGATACGGGGCATAGAAAGGTACTGTTGACCAACAAAGATAAAAACTGGGGTTAATTGGACCTTTTCAGTCATCTGGATCACCCACATGATTGCTTTTTTTGGCTTACAATGGGGAGGTGTACAGATCTCCAAGATCAGCCAAGGATACATAGGATGCTTCCCCTAACCTGTGCTTTACTTCTTAGTTAAAAATCTTAGAAATCTGGACAACTGTATTGGTACAATTTCAATGTGTTTATGTTAAGAGTTTTGTAGTTGTGTTTTCCCTTGCAAGATAAAACTGTTTCCATATGACTGTGCTAACTTTTACCCATGGAAACAGCAATCACATTAGCCGTGAGCCTGCTGAGGACAGGGATCGGGGCTGTCTTGTTCATGGTTTAGGCCCCAAGAGTAGCACAGTACCTGGCATTTTGAGTAGCAACCAGCATTTAATTATTCATCTAGTCACCAAATGTTTATTAAATGAATGATCATGATTACTGAGTAGAAGAAGAAGAGGGAATAACTGAACAGCTTTTATCTCTTAAGTATCTTTGAATCAATACAGAGGTCCAGTGGTGTCTCTGACCTGGGATTCTTTTTAGAGAGAGACGTCTCTGAGATGGGACCAATGTCATTCCATCTGTCCTCCTCACTGGCTTCACTACTTTGGAATGTTGGGTTTATCCATGCTCTTTGGTATTTTGAAATAGAAAGAGCCATTCCTTTTCCAGGCTGAAAAACCTCCCAGCGCAATCCTCTTGGGAGGCACTAATCTCATTTAATTGCTTACTCCTTCATCATTAAGTACAGAAGATGCACTTGCAAAGGCCAGTTGGTCTCCCTGGCTCCTTTCCTGCTCAGGAATTGCAGACACAGAGGAGTCTGGGTGGTGAAAGAAACGGGGCTCAAAATAGCCTTTTACATAAAAAAATAAAATGAACAAACCACTATCTACCCTCTGTGCCAGACAGAGCAGAAGTGAAATAAATACTTTGGGGGCAGGGGTGTCATGAAAATGGAGGCTCTCAAAGCCTGGGCACATCAAATCCAGCCACTGATCTACACCTCTCTCCTTGGCCTTCCGGAATCGTCAACGGGTGACTGCTTGGAGGCCTCTGGTGTATTGCACATGGCTAATTTCCCATGAAGATACTTGGTAGTTTGCCTGCTGTCCTCTCAATAGCTTTAACTTCCCAGTGAACTGTTATTGCTTCTTAGAAATGAATGTTCAGGTCCATGAACAATAAGCCATTTTCTCCTTTTATCCCTAGTATAATCAAACTCAATAACAACACAAAAGTTACAACTCAGGTGAAAAGGAAACTCACTTATGTCTTCAATGTCCAGTCAACATTGCTGAATGGGAGAACAGTATACACTATACTCTACTATATACAGATACGCTTATTTTGTTTTTCATCCATGCACTGTGTAACAGGTATCACAACAACATTCCCAAACAGGCACATGAAGAAGGAGCCAATGTTCAGTCATGGCTGGAACAGGATTGTGCAAGCCACGGATGCTTTTGAAAATAAAACCGACGCATGATCCCAGGTGACAGCGAACATGGGACTGGGACACAGTGATGCAGATGGAAAAGAACGATGTGCTTTTTGAGTGGGGTTATTCCTGTTTGCATGAGAGGTGGTGGGCACGAGGAGGGTTGGGTTGGGGATCCGGGGGGTTAGCCAGGCTGGAAAACCAGAATAAGGGCCTTGCTAATCACAGTCCAGAGCTAAAGAGATAAGAAATAAATGAGTTTGCACGTTCTTGGGAATCGAGGCACATCATTCCTGTACCTGTTGAACAAGAGCGCCAGGCATCGTGTCTTTAAACACCAGACTGTGTCTAGAATCGTCACTTCTCCTGGCTGCATTCGAGCTCCCACGCTTCTCCTCGGAGGCAGCTCTACCTCTGCTCATGTTCCAGAGATGAGCGCGGAATTTAGCAATCTAGTGAAGACATGCTGCTGCTTCCATGCCCATATCCTTTCCTAATCCAAAATAACTTGTTAAAGTGTTTGGAGAGAGTAATTATAAGGATTTAAATTTTCTTTACCAGAAACCCATTTGCATATAGATTGATCATCACCTCCCCCAAGAGAAACGAAAACCTTGACCGTCCCAAGGAAACAACACAAAATCGAACGTCAGCCACCTCCCAGCCCCCACCAAAAACAAGCGGAAACAGAAAACAAAATCACAGACTTAACGATTTATGAACCTGGAGAGAACACAGTCCTTCTAGGCTGAGCTGCAAAGATGCCCCTGCCTCCATGCCTTTGTTCAATGTGATGATGCCCCTGGGAATGGGAGGTGATGGTTTCTCACTCCGGCCCTAGTACAGAGTATGCTCTTGAAGCTGGATTCCATCAGCAGGTAGGTGAACATGACAAATGTCAGTTTCCTCTGTTCATTATACATAATATTTTATGTATATATATACGTATATATATATATAAATTTACTATATCTGATTGTTCCTTTAGAAGCCTTTTATGTGGCAGTAGGCCTCCAGGGAGGAGAAGAAAATGTACAAGAGCCACAGGAGCACGAAGAGGCAGGATGTGAGGAGCTTGGCAGTCCGGGGCCCACCCAGCTCACCTCCGATTTCCGGCCTCCGCCGATACAGCAGCACCCCCACGTTGATGAACGCAAAAATGGTGAAGAGAGTGACAGAGAAGGCCAGTGTGCCAGGGGACACTTTGAACTGTTCCCCGTTGGCTGCGTGGTAGATGGCAGCGATGGACCAGGCCACGCCGATTCCCAGGAAGACGTTCACTGCGTTGCTGCCGGTGACATTACCTATGGACGCGTCTGCATACTGGTCCTGGGTGGCTGCCACTTTGCTTGCAAATGTGTCTGTGGAGGAAAAAGAAAAAGGCAGCGACACTCGGTATTTTAAAGTGGGCTGTGGAGAGCTGGAAGCTTCAGACACGTACTCTAGGATCAAATCCCCCAGTGCGAACCCAGGGACTAGGAGAGGGTTTTGCGGTTCTCTGAAGTCCCGGTCCTGTGGTCAGGACGATGGGATCGAGACATCAGAAGCCAAAGGTGTGGTGTTGGCTGTGTTATTGACCAGAGGATCTTGGCCAAGTTCTTGACCCACAGGTACCACAGGTCTCTGTCATCTTGATCTCGCAGGGCCACATTTTTCAGAGGGATCGTGGCCCATCGATGTCAGAATCACGTGGGGGTCCTGCTGTCATAATGGAATGTGTGACCCCAGGCAGATTACTTAATTTCCCTAAGTTTCAGTTTTTTAATCTGTGAAATGGGGATAGAGACGCCCATTTCAGGGTGTTGTTAGCCTGAAATACAACATGTGAAACGCTCATATTTCTTGGAGCAAGGTAAGAGTAGCTCTTTTTTTCTTGTTTTGCAAAGACCGTGTAATGCAGGCTAGATCAATTTACTAAAAGCGGAGGCAGGATCTGATACAGCTCCCCTTATCGAGCAGGTAAATAGAACTTGCGAGATACTCTGTTTCTTTTCTATATAATTTTCTCATTAATAACATCAAGGTCCTCTCAGCTACCTTGGCAGAAGACTTTGCACAGAAGGTTTATAGAAGATGTGAATAACTTGTCCAATTGAACTCAAAATTGCAGAGCCAGTAATGGCAGGTATGATATCACGGGAAGGTACTGTCATGCCACCTGCTCTGGTCATCTGGAGGTTCCCCAGAAGCTGTGAGCACGCACAGGCTTGAGGGATATTGGAACTACTTCTCCCCTCTGTTGCTAGTCTGTTGCCACCATTAACCTTTGGAAAATCCCCAGTGGGGATGAAACATAAAGCCTGTGAGCTTTTATCAGCCTCTAGATTTTTGTGCTTTACCCTGGCAAGTAGGTTATTTAGGCTGCTCAGAGGATACTGCAAAAGCAGTACCCCCTCCCTTTTTTTTGGAAAGGAAGTCAGTCAACATGGAAGGCCCCATCTCATTAATCCTGACCTTTGCAGTGGAAAAGCAGGTTTTACTTACTGTTCTATAATTAAACTAAGGCAAACACTGCTTCCTCTGTACCAGGCACTATCCCACACATATTACACGTGTGTTCTCATTTAACCCCCTTATCAGCCTTAAAGATGCTCCTGTTCCCTTTTGTGATTTGGGAGCACCTCTTGGGACAGGCCAGTAGATCAAGGCTTTTTTTTTTTTTTTAAATTTTTATTTATTTATTTGACAGAGATCACAAGCAGGCAGAGAGGCAGGCAGAGAGAGAGAGAGGAGGAAGCAGGCTCCCTGCCGAGCAGAGCGCCCAATGCGGGGCTCGATCCCAGGACCCTGAGATCATGACCCGAGCTGAAGGCAGAGGCTTTAACCCACTGAGCCACCCAGGCGCCCCAGATCAAGGCTTTTTAAACCAAACTGATTCCATTTCCGAGCCCGTTCTCCCTCCGTACCACACTCTGTACCACACACAAGTTTTCCCTTCCTCATTTCAGATGGGCCTGATCCTTCCGCTCGGAAGCCCAGACCCAGGGGCTTGCAGGATGCTCTTTCTTGCCTTGGAGCGAAGACTCCAGAAGGGGTCGGGTCTGTCTGCTCGCCCGCCCGCCCGCGTGGATGTGCGCGGCTCTGTGTGTTCAGATCATGCCCTGCAGCCCCGTGAGGGCCGTTTGGGAGGCTGGTGAGGAAAAGCCCAGGCGAGACGAATCTTAATGGTCTCTTGCACTGCATTATGAAGAATTATTAGGAGCTGCAGCAGCAGTCTCAAAAAAAAAAAAAAAAAAAAGTTCTGCTTTTCTTTTTCAAGGACAGGCAGCTGAGCAAGGAAAGTAAAGGGAAGAGTGGAAGGCAAGAGAAAGCAGCTCACAGCTCAGCTGCCGCAGAGGAACATCTGAGACGGGCTCTGCGCTGACATGGTGGCCGGCACCAGCTGGTGGCGAACAGATGGCCGCGGTAGGCTGGGCCGTTGGGGTGGAGGCGCTGCCTCCCCATGCTGCAGGGGCAGGCGGCCTGGTGCTGGGCCACACCTGCCTACCACTCCCTGGCATGGGCTACAGGGCACACTGGACTTCTGGGGTGCCCCATCTCCGCTCAACCCCTAGACTTTCTGGAGGTTTCTGCCGCTTAGCCAGAAAGGAATGAGGCATAACATCAAAAATTCCTGGGCCTCGGGGACCCTAAACACCCAGATTAGTCCTTTCGCCTGAAACGCAGGGCACACCCAGATCTGCAGGGATGTATCCCTCCCTCGGTTTTTTGATAGCCTGTTGTGAATATCCAATTCTTGTAATAACAGGCTCCTGTTTTCACATTCCTTTCTCTGGCTTCCCTACAAAATGAACAGCCAAAGTAACTAGTGTGTCACATAAATGAAACCTGTTTGGGGCCTTCGGCATCTGGTAGGTTTTATTTACCTGCGTTTGACATCAGGCCTTTTGTCTGTTTTAATTCAAAAGCTATGCAAAAATGATAGAGACACAAGCAAAGCCAAACCATTAACTTTAGCTCCAGCAGAGACAATGCTGTTTTTCAAATAAAGTATGATGGAATCTCCCCAAATTACCTTCTATCACTGCTTTGCTGCTTCACGCAAAGAGCAACACATCACACACCATATGTCAGGCACTGCCAAGCCTTACCCTGAACACTAAGCCCGTAACCTGCTTACGGTTGAACAAGGCAAAAGACACTCATATGCCATTCCTCAAAGTAAAATCCAAGAAATAACTACTGCTGTGGTTTCAGGGGGGAGGGGGGATGTCGTAATCCTATGCAGAACTTGGCTCATTAAACAAACACATGCAAATCAGATTTCCCATGTGATTGGCACAAAGTAAGACATGTTGATAATTACATATATATATATACATATATATGTATATATATATCTTCCTATGTATACACCTTAGGTCAGATTTCTAGTAGGAATTTTTCCTTTTAACTCTCACCTTGAACTCTAATAAATTTTGAATTAGTCATAGCCTTAGACTCAGTCATAGCCTTAGACTTTTCGTTCTGCTGCCTGGTACCTTTGACTAAAAATCAGTGATTGGGGAGAGGGGTGCCTGGGTGGCTTAGTTGTTAAGCATCTGCCTTCTGCTCAGGTCATGATCCCGGGGTCCTGGGATCAAGCCCCACATTGGGCTCCCTGCTCAGCTGGAAGCCTGCTTCTCCCTCTCGCACTCCCCCTGCTTGTGTTCCCTCTCTCACTGTGTCTCTCTCTGTCAAAAAATAAATAAAATCTTAAAAAAAAAAATCAGTAATGGGGAAGATTCAACTGGGAGACAGCATGGCTGGAGCTAAACCATACATCACAGAATCAGGATATAACCATTCTCGGCAGACCTGTCTTAAGAGTTTCCTGTGTGTAACCTTGGCCAAGACATCTGGTCCATGAGCAAAAGAGGTCAGCACACTCCCCTTTCCTCCGGAAATTTTTTTTTTTTTCCTGAATTTCTCAAACTTTATAGTTACATACAGATTTAAATGCCCCTTCTGTAAAAAGGATACTTATTATATTCCTACAGGTCACACATCAGGTTTACGATCCAGAGCAAGGGTTTCATCCCAGATGATTTGTTCTTGACTCTTAGCATATTTGGGGTGGGGCAGGTGTTCAACTCCCAGGCAGTGTGCTCAGGAGCTGACACTGATGGTGATTTTAATTGGGATCGAGCCTGTTTGCGGAGGCTTCGCTGCTTCCCCAGCACCTCTGAATTCCTAACAGTAGACAGACCAGGGGGTACGGAGCTTCATTAAGGAGACAGTTTTAGCTCTTCTTCTGAGCGTTCTTGGGCAAGACACTTCAGTTTTTTTTGTTTTTTTTTTTTTAGGTTCTAGTTTCTTTATCTAAAATAAAGGATTTAGATTAGAATATCTCTAAGACTCTAAGTTTATTGTTTGGGTGGTACACACAGCACATCAAAATGCTAAATTTACATGTATGATTTTGGCGTTTCTCTCTCTCTTTTTTTTTTTTTTCATAGGAGTTGGTACAAGGGCAGCCTTCTTCATTAGACTTGATTAGTGACAGTATCTCCTCATTTTAAAGAATGGCCTAAGTGAAATCTTCAAAAATCCTAGGAAGGTCTCTAGAGTTGAAGATACTGCCATTGATCAAATTGTGACAGTATTTATGAAATTAAACCATACCACACAGAGTCCGTACTTTTCCAAAGAGAAAAATGTTGGTGAAATTATTTACTTGAAGTCACTTTGACCAGTCATCCATTTATATGAGTAAAGCCATGGGTACACATGAGACAGTGATGACTATTGGCAAACAGTGTATGTAATGTCAAGTTCACACACGACTGGTGTGGGGAATACTGGAAGAGCCTGGTTATAAGATCTGGGGCTTCACCCTCAACCCACTTAGTCAGACTCTCAGAAGAAAGGATACAGGGATATGCATTTTAGTAAGTGCCTTGGGTGAGTCTTCTTGACACCAGTGTTTCAGAACCATGGATCTAATTCAGGCATGGGAATGACTATTGTTCCAAATGTCCACTGTTTGGGGGGCCTTGCTGAAAGGAACAGATGTTTGTTTTGGGGAAGCAGCTGATTTCTCTTAGAAACAGTGATGCCCTCAGATACCGGGGTTATTTTACTCACAGAACCACTTGGGTGGGCTTGGCGGAGGGGCCAGGCCTGCCTAACTGTAATGTCCTCCCACTCTCAAGTCACACAATGCTCTTATTACTGTTTTTTTTAAGGTGTATTTTAGCTCGAGTGAGTGCATGGATTGGGCGGGGTGGGGGCAGAGGGAGAGAGTCTTCAAGCAGACTCCCTGCTGAGTGCAGAGCCCTTGGGCTCCATCCTGGGACCCATGAGATCATCACCTGAGCCAAAACCAAGAGTTGGACACTCAACTGACTGAGCTACCCAGGTGCACTAATGTTTTACTATC